TCCTATAGGGTTGCTATGAGTTAGAATTGACCCGACAGCAACAGGTTGGTTGGTTTGTTTCCGTTTAAGTGGGCTATGCTCAAAAATTTTTGAGAGTCATCATATAGCATAAATTGCATTATGTAAAAATAAAAATATATGTACATATGCAGAGAGATAAGACTATAAGGAAAACAGATCACTAACAGTGGTTTTCACTAAGTAAATAATCAACGAATCTTTAAATTCTTTCTCATTTTTGTTGAATTTCTACAGTGAGTATGCTTTAATTTTACAAACAGTAAAAAGAAAAGTTCTTTCAGGAAACAGGAAAAGAGTACACTCAACCATCTATAGGAGACTAAATGGGCACATCAGCCCAAATGCAAAGACAAGAAGGCAGGAAGGGACAGGAAAGCTGGACAAATGGAAATGGGGAACCCGAGGTCAAGAAGGGGAGAGTGCTGACACATTGTCGGGTTGAAAACCAATGTTACAAAACAATCTGTGCATTAACTGTTTAATGAGAAACTGATTTTCTCTGTAAACCTTCACCTAAAGCACAATTAAAAAAAAAAAAACAAAAAAACAAACACATTTAAGCTCATAGACACCAGCTTAAATATTTTCTGAAATTCTATAGAAGTACAAATTTAAAAAAAGCTGAACAATGGAATTACAAGTTTTCCAGGTTGAAAATCACTCATTCAATCAACAATTAATGTATATTGTTTACCATGCTCTACGGAGAAAAGGAGAACATAGCATCCTGTTCTCCAAGCCAAAAAACCAAATCCATTGCTGTCAAGACGATTCTGACTCATAGTGACCCTATTATGACAGAGTAAAACTGCCCCATAAGTTTCCTAGACTACAATCATTATGGGAGTAGATCACCGGGTCTTTTCTCCCAAGGAGCCACTGGTGGGTTTGAACCACCAACCATTCGGTTAGCAGCCAAGTGCTTAAACACCATGCCACCAGGGCTCCTAAAAGAGAATACTGTTATATAAATGAGTCAAAGATGGCCTCTATATACTGGCCTCAGGTTTTGTTCCTTCATTAAAAAAAAAAGCCTGCCAGTGCGGTGCCAAACTCAAATTTGTACACATCCAATTATCTTAAAAATAGCCCAAATAAGCAGCTTTTCAGTCACCTGGAGCCTGCCTGCTTTACATTAAAAAACAAAACAAAACAAATTCACTGCCATCAAGTCGATTCCAACTCACAGCAACCCTACAGGGCAGAGTAGAACTGCCCCGTAGGGTTTCCAAGGCTGCAGTCTTTACAGGAACAGACCGCCACATCTTTCTCCCACGGAGCAGCTGGTGGGTTCGAACCACTGACGTTTCAGTTAGCAGCGGAGCACTTAAACCACTATGACACCAGGGTTCCTATTCTGCTCTCAGGAAGTTGAAATTTGCTTGAGAAGGACTACCACAGAGATTACATTCAAAGTGCTACTGGGATGGTGACGGGAGTCTTGAAAAATAAGAACAAGTTCCGGAGGCAAGCAATGGCAGTGGAACACGACAAACCACAGGAAGGGCATACACGAAGGCAGGGAGATAGAGAGAGACTCTGCTAGGTCTATGTCCTCATTAACAGACTGTTTGTATTCTTGTAAAACAATTTTAAAATTAATGCTTGAAGTAGTGTAAAACAGGAAGGGCGGAAGGAAGGAGAGAGAAAAGGAAAAGAAGAAGAGAGGGAGGGAAAGAGAAGGAGAAAGGGGAGGAAGAAGACAGGCAGGTAAGCATGGCATAATACAGATGCTGTAAGGGATGGCAGAGCAGAGTGTGGCCTGCATCTGGGAGGTAATGAGGAAGCAATAAGAGGTTCTTCAGCAGGGGGAATCCTTATAATCAGGACGGACTCAGAGGTGCGGATGGTGAGGCAGCGGAAATGAAGTGGAGAGGACAGAGCCAGGAAATGACGGAGCAGAACTGACACAGCTTGGGACCTGACTATATGAGTCAGAGATGACTCTGAAGCTCCAAGCTTTTTGGTAACAGGGTGCTATTTAACAGAGCTTTCTAATGTACAAGCAGCAGCAGCTTGGTGGTGGCTGCTGTTAGGCTCCTCACACTTGAAAGTGTTCAACAAGAGAAGAGCAAGCAGAGGTGTCATTTCCTCACGGGATGTCAAACAGCTAATCACATGGACTGGAAAGTTCCAGAGCTGGAGAAGACAGGGAGCAGGGTAGGTCAAGGCCATTGATGAGCTCAGCTAGAGGGCATTTTGCTAACATTCAAGCACCTGATGTCAAGCAGGAGAGCCACTCAAGGAGGCCATTCACAAAAGGCTCCCCAGGGAAAGGAAAGCTCTTCCTGACAGGAGAGTATCAACTAATACATGCAGAAGGAATTAGGGAGGCAGAAAAACAATGGTTATCATTCTTTCAGCCAAGAGTCATCAATGGATGCTAAAACCAATGCACGTCAGTATGAAGAGAAACCTAAACCGGACACTTACACAGTCTCCAAGCAGCTCCCTATAAAATACGTATTACTTACAAAGGGGAAAGAGTCACTTTACAGTGGAGAAGCCACCTTCATCAGAGATCAAAGTGAGTATCTCCAGGGATGGGACAAACGGACATCACATGCCTACTGATGGGACGCGCTGAAAAGAACACAGCACCACTTCCGTGGTGTTTCTGCCAAAAGTGCGTCACCCAAATCTAACCATGAGGAAGCACTAGAGAAACCCAAGTTGAGGAACATTCAACAAAATAACTGGTCTGTACTCTTAAAAAAATACCTAAGCCACAAAAGACAGACAGACTGAGGAAATGTTCCAGGTTAAAGAAGACTAAAGAGATTTGACAACTAAATCTAACGTGTGATCCAGGGTCAACCAATGAAAAGCAAGCATCTGTAGATTAGATTATAGATTCATCTACAGAGAAATACTGGATCAATGCCAATTCCCTAATTTTGATAAATGTACCGTGGTTATGTAAGAGAATGCCAATGTGTTTCAGAAATACATGGTGAACTGTTTAGAAGTACCCATTACCTTTGATTCTGACTCATGGTGACCCCATGTGTTGCACAGTAGAACTGCTCCATAGGGTTTTCTTGGCTGTAATCTTTCTTCACAGCAAGGAAGGAGCCCTGGCTGTACAGCAGTTAAGCACTCAGCGGCTAACTGAAAGGTCGGCAGTTCAAACCCACCAGCTGCTCCACAGAAGAAAGATGTGCCAGTCTGCTTCTGTAAAGATCACAGCCTTGGAAACTCTATGGGGCAGTTCTACTCTGCCCTGTAGGGTCGCTATGAGTTAGAATCGACTAGACAGCAACAGAACACAATTTTTCCAGGAGCAGATCGCCAGGACTTTCTTCCACACTGCCACTGGGTGGGTCTGAACTGTCAACCTTTAGGTTGGTAGTCGAATGTAAACCGTTTGTGCCACCCAGAGACCAATTCAGAAGTAAAGGCCCATCATATCTGCAATTTACTCTCAAGTGTCTCAGAAAAAAAGAAAAAACAAGTAGAGAAAATGATAAAGCAAATGTGGTACAATGTTAACATTTAAGGGATCTGGGAATTTTTGTAACTTTCAATTTGTTACAACTTACAACTTTTGTAACTTTCCCACAAATCTGAAATTATTTCAAACTACAAAGTTAAGGAATAAAGGGCTCCTCCAGGTGAAAGGACACAAACTATCTCTCTGAAGTGTTGGGTCAATAAGGAGGAAAGGCTTCAACCAATCACACCTGTGCCCTGCAGATTTTCTCCTTGCCAAAGAGAGAGGTACCAGGAGGAAACGGACATAAAACCAGTGTCAAAAAGACTGGACACTGAGAAAAGGCTTCCGGCACTGAGCAGCCAAAACAAAGCTGTGGATCTGCTGTGATCATGCAAAGTGCTTACTGTGATTCAACTCGGATACCACAGAGAAAATCCTGAAAATAACTACAAGTCTTTAGTGGTCTTCACCTTGAAACCTATCTTCCTGACTAGCACATCCTAAGTAAATATTAACACTGCCACTCAGCCTCATATGCTCCTGCTGCAATTACCAGCAGAGATTGGGAGTGTCTGTCCACACCACGCAATGGTTAATGTCATCACGGATCACCCTAGAATTAGAAAGAACACACAAGGAGGTGTAATCCCTACCTTGGTTTCAAATTAGTTTAAGCCTATATTCTTGAGCCAAACTAGTAATGCTGAAGAACCCACATTCCCATGTGCCTGCTATACCACTGTCTCCTCAAAACTCATCAGCTTTGAAAGCATCCAGGAGAAAAACTAGGGAAACAATGGCATGAAACTGAAAGCTCTGGGTTTCAAAAGACAGGCCAAAGAGACACATTATGGGCGCTCTAAATGAATGCAATAAATGGTTTCAACGCAAGTCAAATTTTGTTATTTCAAGAGCAATGTGGAAAATCTGAGTCTGCCTTTGTGATAATACCAAGCTGTCCGTGGAGCTTAAATTTAACCGCATGACCAGAAGACATCCAAGCACTCCAGTTGTTTTTTACTCCTCTAAAAAAATCCTATATCAACGCATGAATCTCAAGCACCTGATCAACAGCCAAGGGCAGTAATAGTCACAACTACTCATTCATTTTATTAAACCAAAATGTATTTTGTCCCCCACGTAGTGCTGAGGACACACAGATGAATAAAGCCCGCTCCTTGCCCTCCAGGAGCTTCCAGATTGGTGGGGGACACAGACGATCACATGACTGATCAACAGGGCTACACACTATGACAGGGGCCAGGGGAGCACAGAGAAGGCATCTAACCAGCCGAACTGCAGGCCTGAGACCAGAATTGCTCCTGCACACTGAAAAGTCTAATATATCTGGCATGGCAGCCTCAAGACCAGATGCCAACGGAGGAGCCCCATGCCTGCCAGCTGTGGGGACTGCTCAGCTCCTTTTCAGAAAGCATCTCACACTAAACATGAGCGGATTCCAGCACCTCCAGATGGTTCAGCACTCTAGAAAGCATCCTGTAGACATGAGGAGCTCCAATCTGCTGTGAGGGAATACTCTTACCTGTGGCTTCAATGTACTCGATACATCTTTCAATAAAAACAGGGATCGGCTTCTCTGGAGTCACGACTGTTGTCAGTGGCACCCCAAAGTAGTTGCTCTCCCAAGTTGCCTTAGTGATGGATGGCCGGGGCTTAGGCTTTGGTTTCTGTCCAACAAAGAGTGAAAGTACAAAAATACAGTGAGTTATCAACACGTAACGTCAACATCAGGAAGGCCTTCAGAGGGAACCTACAGCAGTGTAGGAACGGCTGGACAAGTTTTGAGCTCATCCCATTAATTCTGTATTCTCTAGCCTCCAAATACCCGCACAGGAATGCTGGCAAGTTGCCACCCAGTCACACCTTTAGTGTGAGACTGCATGCTTAGAACAAAGGTGTTTATAGGAAGCAGGCCATATTTATTTAGTAACAATGAGATGACTATCCACAGCTTTATCAGGGATGCACTGGAGTAAACAGGAAGTGTTCCAAACATCCCGAATGGATAATAGATGTTATACATCCAGAGATGGATAAAATCTTAAAAAGATAAAAGATGGAATTGAAAACTCAGGATTTTCTCTTTTCAGAAAAGAGAGGGAGCATGCATTCTGCTAGGGCTGCGAGCCTCAAATGTGAATTCCCTTTGATACGTTAACTTGAGGTGAACCCCCAGTGGTTTCCACATTAGGAAAGGGCAAAGCCAACTAATGAAACAGGATGAATAAAATCATTCTTTGTCTCTTCTTTCCCCGTAGTCACCTTCCTCGAGTAGTAGTACCAGCAGCAGCAGCAACTACTTGAGCCTAACAAGCATTTTACCAAAGGAAAAAGAAGAGTCTCACATGTCTAAATGACATACTAGTAAGTGACAGTGCTGAGAGTCAAACCCAGGAGGGCCAGCCTGTCTCCAAAACCCGTGTTCCTAGACATCATTAATATTAAGATATCTGCCCCAAAATTATTTCATCCTTTTATTTCAAAGGTCACATGTGGGAAAAAAAAATGTTTTTAAGAAATGGTCAGTTTCCTAAAGCCACAAGAAATACACCTGAAACTTGGGCCTTTGGTTAAAATATCTAGTGAAGAGAAAGACAATTAGGATCTTTGCATAAAATCCACAGCAGAGGACAACTAACTAGCCACCGGGTCATGGGTTAATCATTCCCTTTCCTTAGCCTGCCCATCCTCATTCCTTTTAGTACCCCGTCATATTGGAACAGAGTCCTGGTGGCACAGTGGTTAAGAGGCTGCTAACCAAAAGGTCGGCAGTTCAAATCCACCAGCTGCTCCTTGGAAACAGTATTGGGCAGTTCTACTCCATCCTATAGGGTCACTATGAGTCAGAATCGACTTGAAGGCAACAGGTTTGGTTTTGGTTTATACTGGAACAGATCACTTCCTGTTTGGTCTGAGATTCTTTGAGGACTTCCTATGAAAACAAGTGGCAACAAAAGAAGAGCTGAGAATCAAATGCACACCAAAGAAGGGCAAACCTATTTCTCTTTCCAGAGCAGCCAAAGCTGCTGGCTGAAAAGACCTCAAATGACAAACCCGATCTCTACACAGACCGCTAACTGACTCAGTACAGAGAATTCTGTAACGTAAACAGATCCTGGGGCCTCAGAGAAGAAACCTGCTCTCAATAAGGCCCATCCCTGCCCACTGTGATATGCCCACTCCTAAAACCAGTGACGTGGGAATGGCTGCTGTTAGCTCCCCCTGCAGGCTGCATGAGGCAAACAGGCTCAGACGTCAGGCTTCTCCCCAGAGAAGGAAAAGCACTTTGATGCGTTATGATGCACCTTTACACAAAATAATTCAACCAATCTCAACCATACCAATAATCATGAAGATGGTGCAGGACCAGGCAATATTTCGTTCAGTTGTACCTAAGGCCACCCATGAGTCGGAGCCGACCTGATGGCAACTAACAATAAAAAGACTCTCCCAACAACTGATGAATGGATAAGCAAAGTATAGTATGTACACAAATGAAATCTCACTCAGCCACGAAGAGGAACGTAGTCCTGATGCAGGCCACTACAGGGATGAACGCTGCGGACATTAGGCTGCATGAAGTAAGTCAGACATAAAAGGAGAAAAACTGTACGATCTCATTTATATGAAATAAGCAAATATATAGAAACCAAAATGGTTACTAGGACTGGGAGGGAGGGGGAAAGAGGTGCTTCTGCTTAGAGGGCATTGAAGACATGTTAATGGTGGTGGGATAACTTGGAAAAAGAGAGTGAAAATGGCTGCACAACTTGAAGAATGTAATCAATGTCACTGAAGTGTGGATGTAGAAACTGATGAAATATTGTATGTGTTGTTGTGTTTCTATCATAATAAAAAACATACAAAAGATTTAAAAAAAAAAAAAGACTGTCTCCCTTGCATCTTCTACTTATACAAAGTCTAAGGACTTTAAGCTTTGAAACCTGACAGACGTGGGTTGGAATTCTGATTGCCAAGTTCTGTGACTTCAAGTAACTTAATCTCTCTCTCTCTCTTTTTTTGATTGTTGTGCTTTAAGTCAAAGTTTACAATTCAAGTTAGTCTCTCACACAAAAATTTATACATACTCTGTTACGCAGACTCTAGCTGCTCCCCCTATACTGTGACAGCACACTCCTCCTTTCCTCCCCAGACTTCCCGTGTCCATTCAACCAGCTCCTGACCCTCTCTGCCTTCTAATCTTGCCTCTGGACAGGAGCTGCCCATTTAGTCTCATGCATCTACTTGAGCTAAGAAGCACACTCTTCACGAGTATCATTTTATGTCCCATAGTCCAGTCTAATCTTTGTCTGAAGAGCTGGCCTCGGGAATGGGTTTAGTTCTGGGTTGACAGAAAGTCCAGGGGCCGTGTCTTCCAGGGTCCCTCCAGTCTCAGTCAAACCATTAAGTTTGGTCTTTTTACCAGAATTTGAGTTCTGTACCCCACTTTTCTCCTGCTCCGTCAGGGACTCTCTGTTGTCTTCCCTGTCAGGGCAGTCATTGTGGTAGCCGGGCACCATCTAGTCAAGTAACTTAACATCTCTTAAGTCTTGGGTTCCTCTTCTGTAAACAGAAGAGAGCTTTGCTCACAAGGAGTTAGGGAGGATACAATGATATGACATACGGGAAGTGGCTCAATTGTCAGGTACACAGTAGTTGTTCAATAAATGTGAGCTCATGTTAAAGAAAAGAGAAGGGCTGAGTGCTTCCACTGTTACACCACTGTTACAAACAGGTAACGGTGAGTCGGACTATGTGCTTCTTAAAAACTCCATACTGTTCAGGCAGTTTTAGCTAAAGACACTGAAGAAACAAAGATCATCATCTGTGTTTAAGCGACATTCCTCCATCTTCTATCATTCAAGTTTTTTAGAAATCTCAATCCAGGAGAGTTCGCTTGTCAAAACTAACATTAACAACAGCATTGTTCTTCAATAAAACTGGGGCATCCAAATAAACTGCTGTTAAGGAATAAAAAAATGGAACTGAAAAAGAAGCTGCAAGGATGCTATTTCTACTCACCAGAAAGCTTTCTATGATGTAATGATTACGCGCTTGACTGCTAACCAAAACGTTAGTGGTTTGAACACACCAAGCAGCTCTGCAGGAGAAAGACCTGGCGATCTACTCCCATAAAGATTACAGCCTAGAAAACCCTATGAGGCAGTTCTACTGTATCACATGGAGTCACTATGAGTTGAAATCGACTTGACAGCACCTAACAACAGAAAGCCTTCTGACCATAGCTCTAGGAAACAGACAACAAATTCTGATCTTGTACTTCCTCCACCCTCTCAATTCTAAAACAAGATGATGTGTATTCTAACAATCTAAGTTAGCTAGAAAGTTGAATCTCCATCAAGTGAATAGTTGCCATGTACCAGAGACCTTGCTAAGTTCTTTATATGCACTATCTCACTCTAGTTTCACAACAGATCTGTGGGTGCAGGTGTTAAGAACCCCATTTCAGAGATGAAGAAACTAAGCGCGAGAAAAATTCAGTAACTTGCCCGAGTCGGGTCTGACTGACTGCAAAATCTATGCTCTTAGCCACTACAGTTTATTGCCTTCTCCTCAAAGTTTCTGGGATAGGCAGAATAAATAAATGGATGACTGAATGAATGAAGGTACACTGATAATCTGGTGAACTTCTGAAGGTCATAAAGACTCACTCCCATAAAGCAGCTCAGATTTTTAATGTGGGAAAGAGAAGAATGTGCACTGTAAGAGCTATTTTCAAAGAGCTAAAGGGTTTTCTCACGGAAAGAGACCAGGTTTATCTTGTGTAGTTCCAAAGGGTCATGTGGGGAGAGAAAAGATGAAGATGCAGAGAGGCAATTCTGGCCAACATAAAGGAGAAATTTGAAAAGACAAACAAATAGCAGGTTTAGTGCTTCTGTTCTACCTCCTAGTTTGCTGCATAGTGCCTGGGGTCTTAAAAGCTTGCAAGTGATGGATCCAAGGCACTACAATTGGCCTCTATTTGCCAGAAGCAACAGAGGAAGAAGGAGAGCCAGGAATAAATAGGAAGAGAAAATGAAATGTGTGGCTAATTGCCTCCATAAACAACTAACTACTCCCTTTGCCATGAGACCAGAAGAACTGGATGGTGCCCTGCTACCATTACTGAATGTTTTTATCAGATTCTACAGAATAATTCTAATCAAAAGAGGGAAAATGCAGAATGGAATTTCAAATTCTCATGGACTCCAGACTTTCTGGAGCCATGGAGGGTGGAAGAACCTCTGAAATTATTGCCCTGAGATAATCTTTAAACCTTAAACCAAAACTATTCCCTGAAGTCTTCTTTAAACCAAAGAATAGTTTAGCTTAACTAGTAAAGAATGTCTGGCTTGAGTATCATGCTTTTTTTAAGGAGCTAACTATATGGGATCAAACTGACAACAGCAACTCAAAAGATTAGACAGGAAGCTTAGCAGTGAGCTTACTGAGGGAGGAACAGTTCAGAAAGGGAGAATGAGAACGACTGCGCAATTCAAAGAACATAGTCAATGTCACTGACTTGTACATGTAGAAATTGTTGAACTGGTATACGTCCTGCTACGTACATTCTCAAAAACAACAAAAAATAAATTATTTTTAAAAAAAAAAAAAGAATGGGTTGCTTGCTAAGTATTCAAAGCAGAGACTGCAACTGCCGTACCTG